CCTAGACGGATTACTCTTGAGCGGCCCACCTGCTACCTAGTTCCTCGAAGCCTCTATTGTCTTCCTTGAACAATCCTACTTTGGCCCAGAGCTTTCCTTCCACTCTGATGCGTTCCATGGCCCTTGCAAGTGAGGGGGTAGCTTCATTGAAGACGATGTCATTTCAATGTTTTCAGATTGTCCACATGGCTAGGATGCATTTAGCTCTTGTCGACCCCCGGTGTCTTGAGTTTTGTTCTTGTCTTAGGCAATGTTGGGGATATCGCTTATCGAGAACTTATCGGTCGACCCATGATAAGGGGTAAATCGGCCATTTTATCGGCATATCGGCTGATTTATCGCCATATCAGCTTATTTATCGGGCAATTTAGCTTATCGCTCACACAACGGTAAGCGATAAATCGGCCGAGTTATCGAAATATCGAAAGATATTTTAAACAGTGGTCTTAGACACCATTCTCTAAGGGTCTCATCCTGCAGCTGCTCGAGCCCTGGACGTCATGTCATCTCACCCATCTCATGCCAGATTTGCTTTGCAAACACGCAATCGATTAGCAAATGTTGTATGGACTCCTCATGCTGATCACACAGAGGGCAAGCGTCTTGGTGCGGCAGTCCTCGTCTGGCCAATCTATCAGAGGTCCAACATCTGTTTTTGCTCGCCAACAACATAAAGAAACGACATTTCAAGGGCGCTTTGGACTTCCAGGTGAAGGCAGCCATTGGTGACACTTCGAGCCCCATGAATTTTGCCGCATAAGCAAATCGGGCCGAGAAGCGCCCATTGTGCTCCCAGTCCCAGGTAGTCTTGTCCTCCACCTCCTCCAATAGTTGTGTGCCCTGGACCCTGTGCCACTGCCCGTTAGGTCCGGACTGATGTCACCTGTTCATGCATCGTTTGCAAGACGAATTGCAGAGATTTTAATATGAACTACATACAGATGTATATAGACATAATTTAGAGTGTAGATTCACTTATTTTGCTCTGTATGTAGTCCATATTGAAATCTCTACAAAGATTTATATTTAGGAATGAAAGTATAATTTAAACACTAAAAATCACAGTAATATTTTACAAAAGAATATACATTATGGTGACGTTGAATATGTATATGTGCATAGTCATGGACTAAGTAAGAGTTACAAAGAATTTTGGCAACTGACAATTCGTAATAAGTAAGAAATTCTCATTAAAGTTCTGCAAATTGAACAACCAACATAAATATTTACAAGAATCATGATGATATGAAGATTTATGAAAGTCATTCAGATCAAAAGGCTCTTATTCCACGGCCTTTTCTGAAATGGCAGGATTCCTATATTGATTAAGAAAAAAAGAGTTGCTCAGTTAATTATGAAAAATAGATTGTCCAATTAATTAAACATCACAGCCGTTGAGCGACACACATAAGATACACCACGCACGTCACTTTGAAGAGGGACTCGACGAGACAGCACACATGTGTCACCGTCATCACTCCTCCCCTAGAGGCGCTCATCGCCTACAATGGTGGCAACCTTTTCATTGTCAGGAAATAAAAAAATAAACACAAGTAAACTTTTGACCTATGATAAGCCGTTATCGTATATAAGTCATTCGAACCAAAAAGCTCTTATTCTGTGATCTTGTCATCGTCTATGGTGGTGGCAAACATTTGTTTCATTGGCGCGCACCAGAACTCGATAGAAGCACGGCAAAGTAAGAGCATCTTCAATATGTGTCTTATAATAGGGCATTTTTACATCACGAGGACATGAGGGAGCGAAAACGGCGCACCAATAGGTTCCCTATATGCAAAAAGTATTACTCTAAATTTACAACACCTGAAAATACATCACCAAGTGTTGCGAATTAGCAACACTTGGGCGGTTGCCGCAAAACAATAGTGTCACGCTTAAGTAGCCAACCATCGCGTTGAAAGTTCCCGCGCCGCGCCCGCATCCCCGCCTCCTGACGCCCGCCGCCCCCGCCTGACCGCTGCCGAAGTCCCATGGACGGATCCTTCGACCCCGTGGCTACTGACGCTGCTCCGACGCTCCTCGTTATGGCCACATCCTCCTCTCCCGATGCTCCCGCCGTCGTTGCCACCATGCCCCCTGCTTGGTGCGGCATATTATAGCGTCGCCATGACCCATCCTTGCCGAGGAAATGGATCCGCTACCACAGAAGAAGAAGGCCGTCACGACCAGTCAATGAGACGGTGGCGGCAGGAAGTGGTCGCCGCACGAACCCTCTGTGACTTTGTCCCGGGCGAAGAAACCGAAGACCATCACTGCCATGCCCCCTGTTTCGTCTCTTACTGATGCGACTTCATCGACGGCTATTGCTGCTTCCGTGCCTCCTCCCTCGCCACCTCCGTCCATGGAGGACGAGCCGTCGATGCATGCCACCGTCCTCCGCAACATGGTAGATGGAATGACAGGAAGGTTAAAAGAAATGTCACATTCTTTTCAACAAATTTTGTCATGTTGAGATGAATGCAATGATGAGATGACGTGTGCTTATATTCAATTTTGTGTGTGCATTTGTAGTGTTAATGATGATTCATTCTTGCAATTCACAAATATTGCAAATGAAGATTTTGTCTCTCAATATTTTACCTCCCAAGAATATGAAACACAATATGATGAGGACAATCTTGACATGGACAATGAGAGTTTTCTTGACGCTCCATGGGGAAGTGACGCAAAGTACAACAACACCGAAGATGTGTTGATATGTATGGCTTGAAAGAAAATCTCATATTGATGCCACAACAACCAGTCATAGTTCATATTTTGTTAAATACATGTGCATTTGAAGATAAAAAAAATCATGGTGTGGCAACTATTTTTACTCCTATTTTAGGGCATCTATTGGAGCACTAATGCTCTATTTTAGAACATCTATTGGAGCACCCTTTTTTTTTTACTTTTTTGGAGATAAAAAAATTATGGTGTGGCAACTGTTTTTGCTCCAATCATAATTTGGTGCCCTATATTGGAGATGCTCTTAGATAGCATATTATCAAGAAATAGTATTTTGTATGGGGTAATTGCTATCAATTATTATGTGTGTAGATACCGGCCAACATGGGTTGTGAGTTCTTAATTGAATAGCATTATCATGAATGAAATGACATTTCGTGCGTAGAATTGTTATGTGCAACTGGTGTGTGGGCAGGAATGCGCTAAGAAAGAGGGGGGAAAGGTGCAATATCATCCAGAATAGTAGTGATTAATCCTCTTTTGGCCCCAAGAAAATGATTCGTGACCATCACCAACCAATGTAGTGTGAATAGAATATTTCTCAACGTTTGGTCGATGCATACATACTAGATTAATTACTAGTAGTAGTCTATTGCCGACATACCATGCCGTGGGATATCTTGTGTACTTTTATTACATCGCATGGAATTTTGAAAGTTCAACACTTCACTAGTACTCTTCTGTTCACTTGGTCAAAGTCATTGGTGAACAGTGACGGCTTTAGCCGTAGCATT